TAATTTACTGATCTAGTGGTAGGTCAATTCTCTCACAACTCTTAGCAGCATTACAAAATTTTAATAGATAATTTCTCTGAGTAACATCAATGTAACTTCATCTATCTATACTCTTAGAGATCTCCTCATATTGAAGTGTATTACATTGGTTCATTACAAAGATGAGCCATAATTATGTTAGAAAATCTCCAAAGATATTTACACAATAATATTTACAAAATATATCCTTCTATGACATAATATCTATCGTATATTTTATCACACCCTCATAGTCATAGCAGGATGACGAATCGTAAGACTAGATCTAAAATACAATAATACTTGTCGAGGTAGGCCTTTTGTGAAGATGTATGCAAACTAATATCGAGAAGGTTGTACATGCCCCAACGCCACCTTTTCTTAGGGAGAAATGAATATCCATTTGACATGTTTTGTGCGTTGGTGTTGTACGAGATTGTGAGATAAATAAATAGCACTGACATTATTACAATAAACAATAGTAGCCTGCCAAAGAGGACAATGTAACTCCAAAAGAAGATTACGAAGGTAACAAGCCTCGACAACAACATTTGCGGCACCCCTGTATTCTGCCTCTGCACTTGATTTAGAAAGGGTAGCCTGACGCTTAGAAGACCATGAAATGAGATTGTCACCTAAAAAGCAACAATGTGCCTTTTTAAAAAAAAATATTATTTTTGATTTTTTTTTTAATTTGTAAAAAATAGAATCTATAAATATAATTAAAGTACGGTTTTTTCACCAAATGCCCTTGACCTTTCGAAAAATTCACCAAATATCCTCAAAATTTTCAAAATTCACCAAATACCACTGACGTTTGTTATTATTCACACCGTGACCTCAAAATGCCCCTAACGTTAAAGGTCCGTTAGCAATAAACTTTAATTCACCAAATGCCCTAACTTTGTTAAATAATTCACAAAATCCTAACTTTGTTAAATACTCAACACATAGCAACCCTCTTATTTTCTTAACCACAAATTTTAACACCATGCATGAGTTATATGTCTAAATCCTCTTCCTCAATGTATGAGTGCGTCAGAGTTGCAAACAACCTCTATTCATAAAAAGAAGTGTTGGAGACCATGCAAATAGAGATAAAAAGGGGTTAAATAAAGTAGAGATGATAATTTTACAGGCTTGGGCGGGAAATGGACCGGGCTTATTGTTCATATATTTTCCAACGGGCTTAATATAGAAAACTCAAGCCACTTTTATGCGGGCTTGACAATTTATTCATACCCGCCCTAGTAAACGGTTTGGGCCTCTGCAAGCTAACGAACTTAGCTTAGAGCTTCTAAGAGTACTCATACCTTGAGGAAGATGATTTGGACATATAACTCATGATGTTAGAATTGTGGATAAGCAAATAAGAGGAGTGCTATGTGTTGAGTATTTATGCAAAAAAGGGTGAGAATCAAAATTAACAGCTAGTTTGTAAATTTCAAACTAGTCGTTGTACCTTAAAAAATAGAGGTATTTTGTGTAATTATTCAACAAATTTAGGGCATTTGGTGAATTATTTAACAAAGTTAGGGCATTTGGTGAATTAAATTTATTGCTAACGGACCTTTAACGCCAGGGGTATTTTGAGGTCACGGTGTGAATAATAACAAACGTCGGTGGTATTAGGTGAATTTTGAAAAACTTGAGAGTATTTGGTGATTTTTTTCAAAAGGTCAAGGGCATTTGGTGACATTACTTTTCATATGTTAACCTCTTATAAAATAATTTCCCGTCAAAACTAATAATGACATCATTATTTTTTTTATCAACATAAATAATACTTTGAAAATGGTAAATTAATTATACTTTTTCCTAACAGATTTAATATTTAAATTGGCTAATTATGCAATTTTCATTGGAGAAATTAAATGAAGGCCGGACTATTTAATTTTCTTATAAATATTATTTTTTTTCTCCTACTCTGTACATATTATACAAATTATATGAATTGGGATTTCAACTCTTTATTAATTCCTCATTTGATTAGATTTTGCTTAAATTATTTGTATTACCTACATATTACACACAAATAAGCTAAAAAAATATTGTTAAAATCGTAAAATAATGTTAAAACCGTACATCGCACGAGCCCTAGTAAAGCTATTAAACACGACATGTCTCTTATAGCTTAAGAAAACTGGTTACCAAATCAGTCCAACCGGCAAGGGTCGGGGATGGATGGTTAATAGAAGATCTCTATCAAAAGTGGATTGTTTTAGAATAATTGAAAGGCGGGATTTTTTTTTATTGTGGACTAAGTAGGTGAGATTATTAATTTTGATTTTTTCCTTTTTAATAATTAGCTACAAGTATAATTTAAACTCAATGATTTTAACTTTTATATTTACCAAGATTATGTGCAACTATTTCTTTTGTTAAATACAAGTGATCACCAATAGTGAATTGTTTTTTGAAATTAAAGGACATACAGGAACACAAATCAATTCAATGATTCATACAAACTTGTCTCTATTACACAAATCTATCATATTGGGGGAAAGACAAGAAAAATTGTTTAACTTTTAATAAATTTATATATGATCAACGATATAATCTAATTTTTATTATCTAGTATCTATATCAATCCCACGCAAACATTGGTTGACTGAAGATCGAATAGAAAACGATTTTTTTTAAAGAAAATGTAGATGATTCAACAGTACATTACAAAGGAAAAGGATGTAGAGATTATAATAACTTTAGGTCTTTAGTTAGTCAGAGTATTAGGAAAAGGTTGCTTCGAAACTAATTAATAAATTCTTAATAGTGTGATATGATAAACTACGCATTTCACTTGTCTTTAAAGCTTTTTTTTTTTTTTGGTCCTCTAGATTTTTCTTATTACGCGCAAATATTCTACATTCAGTGTAAACATTGAACAGTCTACATTATCTAAATAAACAATCAACACTTTCTAAGCTTTGAGTAATGAACTTATTATATATAAAAAGTAAATTAAAGGAATTTTTCAGTAACATGCATATGTTGTGTTACTCTAAAGATTACGTCGTTATGCCTAAGTCAAAGTAATCATCAATAATCCGACTTGGCTTATTAATTATTATATATTGATTCGTTGACAAAGTAAAGGGGCAAGCAACGGTCAAAATCACAAGGACTATTAGAACTAGTATCATTATAATATAATTGTAGAGGTGATTAGATTAAACTCGTAGTTTAGTAGAGTTCTTACTCCATATGATTAAGGGTCTGTTCACATTTAGGCTGAACTGAACTGAACTAATTGGAGCTGAACTGAACTGGACTGAACTGATTAGAGCTGAACTGAGTTGAAATGAATATTTTATGAGAGATGGAAATTAAAAATTGAACTGATTGGAGCTGAACTGAACTGATTAGAGCTGAACTGAACTGAACTAAAATTAAGTAAATGTGAACAGGCCTTAAGGCCCTAAGTTATCGGGAATCTGGATTCACAAATTGTAAGCAAAGTGAAATGATTGATTTAGATAATAACTTCCCTTTGTTGCTAGAATTCAAATGACACAAGAACTAATAAGCATCGTTATTTTTAGCTATCGTTTTAGAGGAGCAACTTCATATGATAGGCAACTCTAACCTGGTAAAAGATTAAGCAATTTCTTGGCATATAAGCAATACATAATAATATAATATAATAGCTATAGTAATATATAAAGTGGCAAAATTCGCAGCGACATCCTGAAGTATATGACTTAAGTGCATTGAGCATTTGAGCATCCTGAACTTTGCGTAGTAGCCAAAACACCACCAACTATGGTGTTAGGTGCAACACATGCCATATTTCCGGTAACTTATTTCACCGGGATGAGGTGAATATTCTAACCTACAATTTTTTTTTTTTCAAAAGTTATTTCAGGAAAAAAATAAAAAAGAGAATCGAGCATGACATATTTTTTTTATATGCACACAGACGCATTGCTTATGTCTTCGAGCTCGTAATAAGTGTTAATCAGCAGTAATCACCTAAAATGAAAGTGTGTTATAAACGGAACCGCGGGAACAAAAACAGTAAGAACAAAGTTACCGAAAATAGACTGAGTCGCGGACTATGTCGCTTTCTTTAGAACATTCACGGCACTGCCCTGAAAAGGTGCAAGCAGTTCGTACTAAACCGGATGTTCCCCAGGATATAAACAGCCTTTCTCTTATATCGTACTTTTCATTTCCCACCAATGTGGGACTTTGAGTTTTTTTCACAAAATTCACACACTACACACTTGTTGTTCCAACAAAGTGATTATTAGAGATTTGGAGGAAACATTCATGTACAATTTCAAATCAGACTCGAGATGAAAATTGAGCTTAATTACTCCACCAAGCAAATATTTACGTTCCTTGTTAATATTGTAGTTATTCACAATTTGAGGAAATATTCTTACTTTATTCTTAATCAAGGAAAAAAAACTTATTTATAATCTCATTGAGTGCTTAAAAACTGGTAATGCTATATTAAAAATATTTGTACTGAAATATATATGTATTGATAAACGTGTAAAATCCAAATTAGAACCTAAAAAGGAACTAAAGAGATAATTTGTAATTGTTTTCTGTTGTTTGTATAAAGAAAGATTTTGATTTGGTGTGGAGCTTAGTGTCTGCTCTTATTGACTGAATTGAGCTAAAATGAACTTAATTGAACCGAAATGAACTTATTAAAGCTGAAATGAAATGAATTGAATATTTTATGAGAGAAGGAAATTAAGAACTGAACTTAACTGGACATATTAGAGTTGAACTGAATTGAACTGAATTGAACTGAAAATAATCTGAAGAAAACAGACTCTTATTCAATCTATCATTTTAAAAATGCAAGAAAAAGAGTGATAGAAATTACTTGGTGTTTTACATATATAATCCCATCAAATAAGCAATGACGATGATATAACTATAAACTTTTCTTGTTTCCCAAGAATACACAATAAAAAAAGGTACTTCCACCGCCTAATGCTTCTATATAAAGGAACCCAAGTTTCACAATGAGAGACAACAAACCAACATATTAACATAACTACTACTATTACTTAATACTACTTGCTATACCCTAATCATTTACAATTCCAACTTTCAAAACATTTTGCAAGCATGGATCTTTCTAAAGTTTTCATCATCTTCTCTCTTTTTGTTTCTTTCTCGTCCGCCACTACTAGTGTCATTGACTTTTGTGTGGCGGACTTTAACTTCCCTGTTACACCAGCAGGATATCCTTGTAGGAATCCTGCTAACCTAACCGTAGATGATTTTGCTTTCTCTGGTTTAGGTGTTGCAGGCAACACAACAAACATTTTCAATGTTGGCCTTACAGAAGCATTTGACAACACTTTCCCGGCTTTGAATGGTCTAGGATTATCCATGGCGAGGTTAGACATAGGAGTGGGTGGAGTTGTTCCGATTCACTCACATAGAGTATCTGAAGTTATCTTAGTTATCGAAGGAACAATAATTGCTGGCTTTATAGGCTCAGATAACACGGCGTACTTTAAAACATTGAACAAGGGGGATATTATGATCTTCCCACATACATTACTTCACTTCCAAGTTAACGTGGGTGATGTTCCTGCTCTTGCATTCGTTAGCTTGAACAGCGCAAATCCTGGTTTCCAGTTTACTACTGCTTCTTTGGCAGCAAATGACTTACCAACTGAAATAATTCGGAAGATCACTTTGCTTGATGCTGCACAAGTACAAAAACTGAAGAGAATATTTGGTGGAACAAATTAAAATAAGTAAATAAAATAATACGTAACATACGTATATACATTAATATGCCACATGATCTTGATTGTTAACATTTTCACGTGTAATTTATAAAATATGTATTGTAAAATAGAATAACATGTACAATAATATGGAGTGTCATATTACTTGTACTAGTTCTTTTCAACACTATCAATTTAATACATTATGCATGTATCGTTTGATGTTGTATTATTATGAATATAAATTGATACTTGGATGTCCTACAAGTTAAGAATGCTAGAATGCGTAGTTCTTTCTCATTCTGTCAATTCAGGTTTTGTCGTTAATTAGTTATATAGGTATAAAACCCTAATTCTTTGAAGAGAATTAATGTTACAAAATCCAATGCTTCTACTGAATATGATGTACATTTTCACTATAGAGAACATAATCATATACTTCATATAATTTGTTTCCTTTACGTGACATATTCTACAAGTTGAAGTCCACACCATGTAGACTAAGCTATAAAAGTCCAATACCATTATATTATTGAATAATTGTGAATGTAATTATGTGAATTATATTCATCACTTTTATTTTATCATAAAATGATATAAGCATAAAACTACTCGTTTACTCTTAAGATATATTTGTGGCTGTGAAATAATATGAGTACTAAATTACTACTTAAACACACAAAGTCGTGATACCTTCAAAAGTGACGATCAACTCTCATGAAAGGGTAACATTATTATTTTATGCTAGAGGCTTTTTTACTTACCCAAAAAATTAACATTTAAAATATACATCACTTTAATCTTTCTATTTTTAGCTAGCTTATCCAACGTCATGGGGGTGTTTGTTAACATTTGCCTTGATATTATTGTCTTTATTAAATTCAACAATAATCACTCCATTTGTTGCGTCATTTTATTGTAAAAAGATTGCACTACTTTTTTTTCACTAGATGTTACTTTTGCACTATCAATATACTCGTATTGCATAACATAGATACAATTATTATGACGTTCATGATTGTAGATTTGTAACCAAATGTTAGTGTAATTGGCTTTAAAACTTTGAACTCAAACTACAGGATATTGGTCAAATGAAAATAATTTTATTTATATTTTAGACAACTTTTTAAAAGTCAATGACAAATGGACACACAGTTTAAAAAATAAAATATCTCCAAATTGTAGTAAGACCGATGAATTATAAATAACTTGCACTCAAAGAAATACGAACTGTTTATAATAATGTAAAATTACAAAAAATAACATAAGCTATTACATAAGAAGACAACATGGACAACTGTACATCCGAGTATGAGATTCGTTTAATCATGAAAGTCGTTAAGAAGCTAACTAGTTTGAAGTCTCATTCGAAAAATATGTATATTAATAGGAAATTAGATAGAATCCGAAGACATCTCAACCGTCCGATGTAGCTTCCAAAATCCAAACCGTTGATATTCCTTCTCTAGAATCTAACATAGATTCACCTTCTAAACAATTGGTCCCCCCATCTTCTTCTTTGGTCCCCCCGAATTTCCAAAACTCCTCTCTTCCATCAAAAAACCTTCCTACTATCAAAAATGGTGTCGTCGAACGGATCCGACCAGTTCAGCGACGACTACTGCCCCTTCCAGTTCGGGAGCGAGTCATCGGAGGAGGAGGTGGGCTCAATGCCATACGCTCTTCGACTCCAATTCAATCGTCAGCTAAGGCGCTCAACTCAACTAAACCCTCGATACATTTTACCTTTTCAGCCACTTCCACTGGATCTCCCTTTGCCGGTACTGATGGAACCACCAATCCAAGCACCGGACGACTACATCAACATCGACCCCCCAATTCCCCATTATCCAGAAAGGGAAGTCAACCAGATGAATTTCTTTCTCAAAACACCATCCAAGTGGATGGAGGTTCTCCGCAAAGCAATCAGACAGTACATTCTCGAACCCCAGTTCGTGGACGCTCCATATCAGGAGCTCATGATGGCCAGGAGGCCAGAAGGTACTATGTATCCAGCTCACCTACCAGATCTCGAAGTCTTGAGACAAATATGTCCCGTTTTGGAGGCCTTTATGCGCTGGTGGATCAAACTCGCTCAGATCCAGAACCTCCCTTGGGTATTACACCCTCAGCTGGCCTTCTTAGCCGATCCTACGCCAATCCTCCCTCAATCTCGGAAAACCTTCACATTGACCTCAAAGTGGAGCAAAGTCACTCTTGGAAGTGCAACCAACGCTGTGCTCATCCTCCAGACGCAGATGGAATTCCGTCAACTCCATATAAGAGCTCACTGTACCAAGGACGTGGACACCATGCAAAGATCTGTTGATGGTGGCTCACTTCAAACCCAGCAACACCCATCTGTACAGCCGCAATCACGGCAGAGTTCTTCATCTGGGCCCGGAAACAAGCCACAGGATCAGGAAGGAGTTCCTTCAGGACGACCTCATCCCTGAACCCATGATTATAGTCGCTTGGAATGCGAGAGGCATAGCGAGGGGAACTTTCATCCCCCATGCTAATCACCTAATCCAAGAGCACAAGCTTGATCTAATGTTCATTTCTGAAACCAAATGCAGCCGTGCCCATACCCAACACATTATTAAGGATTTACCTTTTGATAGCTACTTCTTGGCTGAACCGGAAGGCGTGGCAGGTGGCATTCTTCTGTTGTGGAACTCTGCTCACATGGATTTCCAACCAGTGAGTAGGGATAGTCATGGGGTGCATGGAGTTGTGAAGGTACAAGATCTTTCTTTTTTTTATTTCTGCTATATATGCTAGTACTAGATTTAAATCTAGATGTGATACATGGTCTGATTTAATTCGTTTGAGTGATAATATGTCCCTACCTTGGGTTGTCATTGGTGATTTTAATGAGGTTACTAGTCAGGCTGAAAAGTTAGGTGGTAATCCCATTAAAGTGAATAGAGTTAACAAATTTCTTGATTGCATGAATTACTGTGGATTAATTGATGTTGGGTACTCTGGTAACAAATTTACTTGGACTAATAAAAGAAAAAGAAGACTCATTCTCCAAAGACTTGATAGGGCTTGGATTAACACTCCCTGGATCCAATCCTTCCCCAACACCGCTCTCCTCCACCTCCCTAGAGAAAGGTCTGACCATAGTCCCATCTTTTTAAATACCGACCCTCCACCTCTATTCCTTTGACCTCTAAAGCCTTCAAAATGGAACCTTATTGGTATAACCAACCAGGTTTTGCCCCCTTTGTTGACCTTACCTGGAATTCCATTGATGCCAACCTGTCCACCAAGCTAAATGACCTCACTCCCCTCATCCTAGCTTGGGTTAAAGACAATGTTCCAAACCCTAGAAGGACTATCAATAGATTCCTTAAGAGATTAGAAGGTACCAAAAGGCCTTAGAATCTGAACCAAATAACCTCTTTCTCCACAATCTAGAGCAAGACCTGTGTGCTAGTCTTTTCTCTTTCTACAAGCAAAAGGAATCTTTCTGGGCTATTAGATCTAGAATCACTTGGCTTACTGAGGGAGATAGGAATACTGCTTTTTTCCATAAATCTGTGCTCATTAGGAGAAGGAGGAATAGAATTCAGAACCTCAAATCTCCTGTGGGTGAGGAGATCCCTGACCATCTCCTCAAATCTCATATCTCTAGTTACTTCTCCTCCCTGTTCACTTCCCAAGGCACTTTTATTCCTGAGGAGACCTTTCCCCCTGCTTCCATTTTTATTTCCCAGCCCCTTGCTCTTCATGAAGTGCACTCTGCAATCTTCTCCATGGGGAAATTCAAAGCCCCTGGTCCTGATGGTTTTCATCCCTTCTTTTTTCAAAACCACTGGGCTACTGTCTGGCCTGATTTACTCAGATTCTGTCAAGAGTGTTTTTCTTCTAAAACCATCCCTACTGAGGCAAACAAGACTATTATCTCTATCATTCCTAAGGTTAAAGACCCTCAGTCCATCAAACAATTCAGACCTATAAGTCTCTGCAATACTTCCTATAAGGTTGTCTCTAAGATCATTGTTCAGAGGATCAGACCTCTCCTAAATGACATCATATCCCCTAACCAAAGTAGTTTCCTCCCTGGTAGAGGATGTGATAATAATTATATTGCTGCCACTGAGATTCTTCACTCTATGAGGAAGAAATCTGGGAGGAAAACTTGGTTCTGCCTCAAAATTGACCTAGAGAAAGCCTATGATGGATTGGAATGGACTTTTATTGAGTTTTGTCTCCTCAGGACTGGGTTTGATTAGAACTCTATCACTCTTATCATGAATTGCATCTCTAATCCCTCCTTCCAAGTGTTAGTCAATGGCTCCCCCTCTGCTCCTTTCTCTGCTTCTAGGGGGATCAGGCAGGGTGACCCCCTATCCCCCTATATCTTCATTATCTGCATGAATTATCTCTCTTATCTAATTGAGTCTTCCTGTTCCCAAGGCCTTTGGATTCCTTTTAGATTTCGGAATAATACCACTCCAATCTCCCATCTTCTTTTTGCTGATGATTTGCTCCTGTTTGGAGAAGCATCCCCTGGCACTCTGAATGTCCTTCAAGACACCCTAGATATCTTCTGGGCCATGTATGGTCAGTGCATGAACCCTACCAAGAGCAAACTTTATTTCTCCAAGAATGCTTCCCCTTTCTCTGTGGATCTGTTTAGTGCTAGTCTAGGAGTTCCTGTCAGCTCTGATCTAGGCATTTACCTTGGCTTCCCCCTTACTGATAAAAGGCCTACAAAAACTCAACTCAATCACATTATCCTTAAGATCAGGAACAAGTTGAGTAGTTGGAAAGCTAAGCATTTTTCTAAAGCTAGTAGAGTTGTTCTCATTAAGGCAACCCTTTTTGCTATACCTGCTTATTCTATGCAAACCATTTGCCTTCCTAAATCCCTGACCAGCCAGATTGACCAGCTGTGCCCCCATTTTTTCTGGGGAACTACTCCTGAGGCTAAGAAAGTTCCCCTGATTGCTTGGGACAAAATCTGTTCCCCTAGAGATAGGGGAGGCCTCAATTTCAGACTAGCACAGTTGCAAAATAGAGTTTCCATGGCCAAGTTATGCTGGAAAATCCACACTTCAGACACTTTGTCTGCTAATCTAGTTAAGGAAAAGTATTGTCACAAACCTGTTGTAACCCCTTTTGCTAGGGGTTCCCATATTTGGCAAGATGCTGGTAAAGGTTGGGATATCCTCACCCACTTTTCCCAATGGGGCCTTCGGAAGGGAGATCAATGCAACTTTTGGCTTGAAAATTGGTCTGGAATGGGAGCTATTAGATCTATGGTCCAGGGCCCACTC